ATTAACCTAGGTCTGTATGAGCTCAAAAAAGAAAATAGAACTTCATGATATGGCAAAGGGCAATAATAAAATAGATATTGAAAAAAGCATCCTGGTTCTGTTGCAGATGTAAGAATAGCCAAACTGGAGTTTTGGATATCAGTTGTTATGGATTTGAGCCAAATCATCTTCTTTTTGGTCTGTAGAAATCGCTTTAGTTAATCTTTCTGGAATCCAAATCGGCTGCTGTTCTCCCTGTGGAAACACATAAACAGACCCCCGACTCCAGACAATCACTGGGTCAGGACCTTGGTTAATCTCTCTGGAATCCAAATCGGCTGCTGTTCTCCCTGTGGGGAAACACAAACAGACCCTCGACTCCAGACAATTACTGGGTCAGGACCTTTCCATTGTCCTGTTAGAATATCCTTCCAAAGTACCTTGGGCTTATGTACATTTTTTGGACACATATGCCTTTCCGCAGCACTAAGTCCTGATGAATCCAAATTTAAAAAGTTTAGAGTAAAAAGGGTTATTTTAAGTTTATCTTTGGGGAATATATACACCAAATGCCGCAGTCTGGCTGGGCACAATCAGGAGCCACTTGTCAAAAGAAACTAACTTTATTTTTAGAACCACACACGACAAACAAAATAGCCTCTCAGGAAAAACCCTCAGAGCCTCAACTGCCACCACCGGCTTTCCCCAAGCCTCTCTCTCCCCCCAAGCTTCTCTCCACCTCCCACAATCCTCCTGCTCTTGAGGCCGATTGGCTGGGTCACGTGGGCGGAGCCAAAAAAGTCCCCCAATGAGCAGCTCCGTGGTCTGAAAGGGCAGGGAAACAGTCCAATGAGCATCACCGCAGAGGAGCCAATCAGCTAGATGTTGCTGGGGCCGCTGTGAGCCAATCATCAGCCAGCAGCTGGAAGTTTGCAGGCAGCTGGAAGTTTGCTGGGGCCCCTTTGGCTGTGGCTCTCAACACACCATGCCTGGCAGGAATTGTTATCTTAATTCAAAAGCAAAGTAAGTTGAGCATGTTGGTATACCTTAATCCCAGCTACTTGGGAAGCTGAAGCAGGAAGTAACACTTGGCCCAAGATTTTTGAGGCTTTCTAGCGTAGTGATACCCCATATCAAAACACAAGAAATGAAACAAAACAAGAATTTAGGGCATAAGGCTAATTTAGCATTTTTTCCTTCTTATACTCTTGTTTTTTCTAATGCACATTCCTTAGCATGTCGAAATGTTTCTTCAACTTTTTTTTTTTTTTTTTTTTTTTTGGTGCTGGGAATTGAACCCAGGGCTTCAACACATGCCAGACAAGCGCTCTACCACTGAGCCACACCCCCAGTCCTCATAATAATTTTCTGTGCTAATACTATGTAATATTATGAGCTATATTTCCTTTTGAAAAAAAAAAGGGCTGTAATTCCAACACTTAAGTGGCTGAGATGGAAGGATGGGCTTGAGCCCAGGAGTTTAAGACCAACTTGGGCAACTTAGTGAGACCTTGTTTCAAAAAAAGAAAAAGGTGTTTTTCTTATACAACAATATTTGGAGGCCTTGGAGAACATAAACCTCTTACTTAGCTTCCATGGCACATGGCATGGCACCTTGTATGGGGCATATGCATTAATTCTGTCTTCTCTCATTGGACTGGAGTTTGGGAAATTGATGGAAAAATGATTAGAATTCTAGTACCAATGTTTTGATCTTTCGCAGTGGGAGAGGAGTTAGATATTAATATGCCATTAGTATTTTTGAAAGTGTCATTTCTGTAGTAAAGAAACTTAAAAGTTCTTGACCTATGATGAGATACTTGGAAATACTTCTACTAGGTTATCATCCTTCCTATCTGGAGGTCAAATTCTGTAAATGTCTACTTTTTCCGCGCCCCCTCCAGGGGAAGAGGGATATATTGATAAGAAATGAATAGCAATTGCTGGTATTTTAAATAAATTTATTCTTTTTAGTTATGTATGACAGAATGTATTTTGACATGTTATACATACAGGGAGTATAACTTCCCATTCTTGTGCTATGGGAAGTTTTACATGATGTGGAGTTACACTGGTTGTGTACTCATATATGGTTTATTTAATTGAGTATACTGTTGTTTGTTAATATTGTTATAAAAAATATTTCTTTCAGAAATATTGTGTTTTGACAATTTTAGATTAATAAAAGTTAAATATATTGAAGTACAGAGAAATGTTAACCCAAATGTTAACATTTTATCAACTTTGATAAAATGTTTATCTCTTCTCTTTCTCTTCTTTATCTCTTTTCTCTCTTTCTAGTAAATATAGGTATATAACAAAGTTTCTTTTTTCTGAACCATTTGTAAGTTGCAGGCATGTTGTTTTTCATTGCTGAATATTTGTATTCCTAAAAGCAAGGAGTTATTTTACATACAGTGTAAAGACCAAAATTTAAAAAATGGTTCATTATAAATATCTAATCTACAAATATGATTCAGAGTGTACTCATATATGAACAGGAAAGTTATGTCCAGTTCATTCTACTGTCTTTCTATTCACATCTCCTTTCCCTTCCCTTCATTTCCCTTTGTCTAATCTAATGAATTTCTATTCTCCTCCCCCTTTTTGTGTGTTAGCATCCATACATTAGAGCATTTTGCCTTTGGTTTTTTTAGGATTGGCTTTTTCACTTAGTATAATAGTCTCCAGTTCTATTTACTGGCAAATGCCATAATTCCATTCTTTATAGCTGAGTAATAATTCATTGTGTATATATACCACATTTTCATTATCCATTCATCTGTTGAAGGGCACCTAGGTTAGTTATGAATTGAGCTTTTACGAACATGCTGATTTTAAGTCTTTTGGGTATATACTGGGTCAAATGGTGGATCCATTCCAAGTTTTCTGAGGAATCTTCATACTGCTTTCCAGAGTGGTTTCACCAGTTTGTAGTCCCACCAATTACTGATATTTTTGCTTGGTAGTGTTTGCATTGTTATTTGTATTGATTGTTTGTTCCCTGTGCTTAGAATGTTAGTCCCTTAGATGAATTTTCATACCTATCTTCTGACCTATTTAGAATCTTTCCTCATATAGTATCTTCTCAAGGAGGTCAGTGCTGACCACCCTATTTAAAATTGCAACTGCTTTTCTTTCTGGTATTTCTAACCTCCCTTATGTCTCACCTTCCTTAAATATTACATTCAGCAGAAAGGCAAGTTACAACTGTATAGCTTTATAGGAAGTATAATTTAGAGGACAAGTAGAGGGTTGACAATGGAAAGGTTTTGTTAATCTGTTTTACCCCTTAGCAGTTAACCACTTGAAATATATTCTACACCATTTACTTATTATGACTATTATTTATTGTGTCTCATTATCAGAATGTTAATCCTTGAGAACTTTTGTCTATTTGTCTTCTCTATTCCAAGCGCCTTATAGATGCTGAGAAAATATTTTGTCTCATGAGTAAAGGTAGAAAAGAATGTTACCATGAGAAAGCTATAAAATAGTTAACATTGTAAATATATTAAAAAATGCATAAAATGTATATAAAAATGTATATATACACAAACACACATGTAGTTTTTGGTACCAGGGATTGGACTCAGGGGCCCTTAACTACTGAGCCACATCCCTAGCCCTTTGCTATATTTAATTTAGACAGGGTCTCACTGAGTTGCTTAGGGCCTAAATATTAGATTCAGCAGGAAGGCAAAATTTACAATCCTATAGCTGTGTAGAAATTTTAATAGAGGAATAGAGAGGAAGACAGTGAGTAGATTCTGCTATTTTGGATTTTTAGGAGAAACTTCCTTATTAATGGGGATAGTTTTCCTCTGCCTCCACATAAAATAATTTCAATTTTATATTCTGATTAGCATATTCTGTCTTTTAATGTTTTTTGAAAATTAGCAACTTGTCTATTTTTTAATAATAGGGCAAATTTACAAGAAATAAAAATATTTACCATAAAAAATTTCTGTCTAAGGAGCGTCAGAATATACTTGGTTATCTCCAATGTAAAACTAGTTTTAAAACAATGGTTGATTAGGGGCATATATTAGAATCTGCAATTGCAGGAAATTATGTGTAAGGATATCAACATTATTTAAGTACTTTTCTTGGTTCTTCTACCCAATTTTAGTGTAGGAAAATACTGTAAATAAAAGTTTTTTTCTTGTTTTTTAGTGCTGGGGATTGAATCCAGTGCCTTTTTCATGCTAGGCAATACACTCTACCACTGCATACACCTCCAACCCCTTCTTTCTATTCTTAAACTGCTATGTTAGTGTGGCTAGGACTAGAAATTTCCCAGGGATGTGTTTTGGTCTCTTTTCATCTGAGTACCCAGTGGGCCCTATTAATCTGAAGACTTTTATATCTATTAACTTGTTCCTCTATTGTTATTTATTTTGTTATTTTTAGATATATGATAGTAGAGTATATGTTGATATATTATACGTATATGGAGTATAACTTATTCTGGATCCCATTCTTGGGGTTGTACATGATGTGGAGTTTCATTGGTCATGTATTCATGTTCAGTATGAACATATGAAAATTATGTGTGATTCATTCTACTGTCTTTCTTATTCCCATCCTCTTCTCCCTTCCCTTCATTCCCCTTTGTCTAATCCAATGAACTTCTATTTTCCTCCCCCCTTTATTGTGTTAGCATCCACATGTCAGAACATTCGGCCTTTGGTGTTTGGATATTGGCTTATTTCACTTGGCATGATGAGCTCCAGTTTCATCTATTTACTGGCAAATGCCATAATTTCATTCTTTATTGCTGAGTAATATTCCTTTGTATATATATATAACCCATTTTCTTTATCAATTCATCTGTTGTAGGGCACCTACGATGGTTCCATAGCTTGGCTATTGTGAATTGAGCTACTATAAATATTGATGTGGCTGTGCCACTATAGTATGCTGATTATAAATCCTTTGGGTATATACCAAGGAGTGGGATAACTGGGTCAAATGGTGGTTCCATTCAAAGTTTTCTGATAAATCTCCATACTGCTTTCAAAAATGAATGCTTCACAGATTTTTGTGTCATCCTTGTACAGGGGCCATGTTAATCTTCTCTGTATCATTCCAGTGTTAGTATATGTGCTGCCAAAGTGAGCACCTGCTTCTCTTTTAGCTCTGGAAATTCATATTCCTTTTAAAACTTCTTCCTTTTAGTTAATTTTTTTTGGGGGGAGGGGTTGTTGTTCATTTGGGGATCCTGTTTGGCAAATTCTGATGACCCCCCCCCCCAAGTTTATGCTGTGTTTCCTTTTGATACTTTTTTGACTCTTTTTTTTTTTTGGTCTAAAGTAGAAAAAATAATTTAAATGTATAATTTAATTAATATAGAGTATTTATATTTTTGTCTTAATAACTGTAAACCTTACACTGCTTTAGAAATTTTCTGAGACCCTTATTCATTTTTTCTTTTTTTATGGCATTTTGTCTTTATTCTGGATGAGCTATCCCAGATGTTTCTAAGCATCTTGATTTTCCTTTTAGGGGGATTTTAATAAGTTCTGTTTTATAATTTTTATTTCCTCCTTTCTCTCATTTTCCTTTTTATTTCCTATCTCTTTCTTTTATAGATGGTGATTTTGACTTAGCCAGTCAAATTAAATGTCTGTTTCCTAGGTAGAATCCATTAACTGATACACTCTGTTAGGGTAAACAATTAGGAAGGGGCCTGTATTATTCCTGATAGATAGAGCTAATGTTATAATAGCTGAGTCAGTTCTCTTAGAACTGTTTGATTTCTTTAAAGAAGGCCCAGCCAGTTGTATTTTTAAATAATGTAAACAAAATGTAAATCTCAAAGATAACTAAGATTTTGAAGGTTAATTATCCTGTCTAGAAATGTTCATATAAGTCATCTTCCGTGTATTAGAAAGAAAAGTTTTAGGGTAAAGAGTAGTATAGCAGGGCTGGGGATGTGGCTCAAGTGGAGGTGCACTTGCCTGGCATGCGTGTGGCCCGGGTTCGATCCTCAGCACCACATACAAACAAAGATGTTGTGTCCGCTGAAAAAACTAAAAAATAAGTATTAAAATTATTTTAAAAAGTTAAAAAAATAAAAAAAGAGTAGTATAGCAGATAGTAGTATAGAGCCAGATGTTGGAGTCAGACTGCTTGGGTTCATTTTTGGTTCTGCCACTTACCAGTTAGTGCGCTAAGTTACTAACAAATTTTCTCTTCTATAATATTTGGACAATAATAATGCCCACCTATTAGGGTTATTATAAGGGTTTAGTATGCTCTCATAAGATATTAATTTGCCTTTTCTCTCTACTAGTAACAGTTGGGTGAGTTAGGATTTAATGGTGAGCCTATAGCAGAAATTCTGGTAGGATTTGGAAATTTTAGATTGTATTTGTCTTTAGAACCTCAAAGAATACTTAATATTTTATATGAATCATTGAAATGTGGAGCTATATGTATATGCAAATGTTGTTATAAAAGGATTTATAAAACTCTCTACTTGTTCCCAGAGAAAGGATCATACTAAAGATAGTTTAATCATGTTTATAATTCTAGCAACTGGGGAGGCTGAAGCAAGAGGATCACAAGTTTAAGGCCAGTTTCAGCATCTTAGCCAGACCCTGACTTAAAATAAATTGGGGCCGGGATATAGGTTTGTGGTAGAGACCCCTAGGTTCAATCCCCAGTAGTGGCGTGTGTAGAGTCTTGGAGCACAGCCAGAAAACTGGGAATGAAAAAATACTATTTTCTTGCCCAGAAACTCTGTGTACAATTAGAATCATATGTGCTCAGGATGCCAGGAAAGCTTTATTCCCATACAAAACACACACTGACAGTCTACTTCTTGGATTTCAGGAATGTTTAAAGTTTCTGTATAAATTGATGTCTGGGAGAAGACTGGCCAGAGGAAATAATTCCCTTCTCAAAACAGGCTTTTTTTTTGCTTTGAGTTTATTTCTATTGTGATGAAACTTTTCTTACCATACCTGACACTATTTGTAAAACTCGGAGTTAAATGATTAAAAGTCTTATGTAACTTTGTGTGGTGGTGCACGTCTGTAATCCCAGCAACTCAGGAGGCTGAGGCAGGATGATTGCAAGTTCCAGCCAGCCTCAGCACTATAAGGAGACCCTGAGCATCTTAGCAAGACCCTGTCTTAAAATTAAAAGTAAAAAGAATTGCGGATGTATGACGAAGTGTGTTCAATTCACAGTATAAAAAAGAAAAAAAAATCTTATGCAGTTGTTCATATCAGCTCCTTACCCCCACCTGACCCTATTTGATCCCAGGGATTTCAGTTTAGATTATTTCTCTTTTCCCCACTCTTACATAGAAGAATCCTTGAAGTCTTTTATTGTTACTGGTCATCCCTTTAAAAAAATTAAACACTGCCAGTAGCTTGGTGGTAGAGTGCTTGCTTGGCATGTGCAAGGTTTGATCCTGACATTGTAAACATACAAACTTCATTAAAAAATGGAAGCATAAGCAAAATAGGGAGCTCCTCTGTATTTACCACTTACGTTTTTTTTTGTGTGTGTGTGTGTGTGTGTGTAAATTATCTTTTTTTCCCCCTGCATTTTAAAAAATGTTTTGTAGTTGTAGTTGGACACAATGCCTTTATATTATTTATTTTTATGTGGTGCTGAGGATCAAACCCAGTATTTCACATGTGCTAGGTAAGCTCTCTACCACTGAGCTACAACCCCAGCCCCACAAGTTAATTTTAACTGGCACCAACCTTTGCCTTACTGGTTTGTTCCATGTCTTCATGTTTAAAAAAAAAAATTACAAAGCAAATTCCAATTATCATGTCATTAATATGTTCTTAAAAAATCCCCCCATAAACACAATGCCATTAAACCACCTAACAAACCTAATAGATTGATCTGATGGCTGATTGTTTTTAGTATCATCAAATTCCTTTGTTACCTAAAACCCTGATATATTCAAGTTTGTAGTATAATTTTTAAATGACCACTTTATGTATATTACAAATATTTGTATTTTACAGATGCTTAATATGTTATGGAAAATATTAACTAAAAAGTACATGGAATCCATGTAATAAACTCTTCTACCTATCACTCATCTTAACAACAATCGTCAAACCACCACATTATGTGGGGAGGAGAAATTACCAACTTATGCCCAGTTTTCTTTCATCTGTTCCCCTCACACTTCCCTCTCCTGTGTATTTTCAAGGGAATCTCAGAGCAGATACTATATCATTTGGAGACAAGATAAAGGATTTTTTAAAACATACCTTTTATATATATGGACACAGTCATGATACTATTAATCATCCCTCCATTCCTTCATATTATCAACTATCCAGTGTTCTAATTTCCAGTTGTTTCAGATGTCATTGTTTTTGGTGATTTGAATCAAGATCAGTATAATAAGGTCTCTACCTTGTAGTTGGTTGGTAATGATCTTTAAGTACCTTTTAGTCTATAGAGTTCCACTTAACTACTTCTTTTTTTTCTTTCCCCTGCAGTTTTTGTTTTATTTAAAGAACCAGGCTTGGGAGGAGGGAGCCTGAGAAGAATGGAAGAATTTTGGATTGGGCAAAGGGGAGGGGAAAGGGAAAGGGGCATGAGGGGTAGGTAAGATGGTGGAATGAGACGGACATCGTTACTCTAGGTACGTGTGTGATTGCACAAATGGTGAGACTCTGCATTGTGGACAACCAGAGAAATGAAAAGTTGTGCTCCATTTGTGTACAATGAAACGAAATGCATTCTGCTGTTATGTTAAAAAAAAAAAAAAAAGAACCAGGCTTTATTTGTCTTTCAGTGTTTCTCAGAGTTTGGATTTTAATGATTACATTCCTGTGGTGTAGTGCATCATGTTTTTATGTACTTTGTATTTTCTGTGAATTAGTGACTGAATGTCACTTTAGGATATATAATGTATACACATGGTAAAAATTTAAAATGGTTCAAAAAGCTGTACATTGAAAAGCCTTTGGAACCTTCCCCAGAGGCAACTATTATGTCTAGAATGATATGTTTTTATTAAGCTGTTAAATCTCCATAGAACATACAAATATTCTTTTAATTCTGAAGATACAAAGGGAGTTCTCTTGTAAATTTTAGAATTTGATTTAAATAATATAAAAGCATACGGAACAGTCGTTCCGGTTGAACCACTTTATCATGACAGGTTTTAGAACACAAGAAAGGTGTTGTGAACTCAACAGGTTCAGACAAGTGATGTGAGTGTTGGGGTCAGAAACCATGTTTACAAGGCCACAGTATTGCCTGAGAAGAAATGTGCACTCAGAAGAACGAGCCTGGGTGCAAAGGTAGAGAAAGGGTAGTTAAAGTTAGTTTCAATTTCCCTGTTATTTATAAGGCTCCTGTGGCCTAGTGTAAAGAATTGTTTCAGTATACCCACTAGAAAGCCCTTGCTATTCTGGTTCTCTTATAATATGTTGGCTCCCCAAATGGGTGAGAGGTATTTTCTTTTTGAATTATGTTGTGTGTATGTGTGGCAGCAGTGGCAAAAAGGTGTGTTGAGCATAATGGAACAGAGTTAAGAACATTGTACAATTAATTGCCTGGAATAGAAGGTGCCCACAGTAGCCTTGGTTATTCTAACACAATAGAATATTATGCCTGGGTATGATGGAGGAACAAAAAAAAAAAAAGATTTTCATTTCCCCTAAGCAATTTGTTTGGAGATCCATTTGTATTAGTCAAAATATACATATACTTTTTCTTTTCTTTTTGGCAGTACTGGGGATGAACCCCCCAGGACCTTGTATATGCTAGACAAGCACTCTACCATTGAGTTACACCCCCAATAATTGATACATAATTGGATTGAATTAATTTTTGCATTCCCTACTGGGAATCTAGGTGGGTTCTTGAGAAAGATTCCTAATTTTACCATCTGGCTTGGTATTGCTGGAAGCACTTGAGATTGCTCTCTCCATACCCCCATGAAATTGAGACTGCATATATACAAGGGTCTAATAATATGACAAGTGTTAAATACAATTTCCTCTTTTTAGTTTATGTTCTAAAGTTTGAAAAGCATATTAGTTCATTGGCAAAGCTCTTCGAAGTTGAACAGTTATTGCTGGTGGAATGAATTCCCTACTGTGGTACAGGGTTAGACTTGGTGAACTCTTA